ACATAATTAGTCCCTGGATCATTAGTATTCTATATTTAAAGCTACAATAAAATTAAATCACTTAGTCTAGTGACTAATTTGTACTACTTAAATAGGTGATTATTAAAGAAAGACCACTCTTACTTCCAACCTTTATGGACATAATGTTACTTGAATCAGTGATTTAGAAAATCACTCATTTAAGTAAGTCCCCTGACTGTACAATGTCTAGTGGAACTATTTATATTTCTGAAGCAAAGAAAGAAAACTAGAAGTCCAGACCATTATGCCTTTTGCATATATTATTAAAAAGATTTCCATTTAATGCGATGGTCAGTGTTCCTCATTTGCACATTAACTTTGAATCATAGTTCTGATAAATAAAGGAAATCATTTTGTAACTGAATGTCACCCCAAAAGGCAGGGGTTAAAAAATTTTGTTACAGCTAACTAGCCCAGGACTTATTGGCAGCAGGATTTTACTAGCCCTGTTCCAAGAACTACTAGCCCATCAAAACTAACCTGCTAGCCCGAATATCCCTTTCAAATCAAAGTGTGCTGCATAATACAGGCTGGGTGTCATGTTTTGAAAGGGCATTATACACTATTTAATAAAATAAATCAAATGAAGTTATGTTTTATTTTTTAATAAGAACAAGGATCTTCAGGCATCTTTTTGGAACTCGACATCAAAGACAGCATTGTCATTTTCATCCTGAATGTTCAAGTTTTGATTTCTGTCCTTTGACCTTGGTCCAGGCAATTTGTGATGATTGACATGCCTGGTAGTTTCACTGGACAACAGCCAGTGCTCAATACTGGCCTCTGGTTTAAATTGTGATAACTCTGGACCTTCATTCATAACAAGAAGCTGGTTCTTTAGGTGAAACTGTGTCATTATGCTTCTCAAGTTCGTTTTAACAGTTTTCATATGTGAGAACCCCCTTTCACAACTAGCTGTGCTTACCGAAATTGACATTATGCACTCAACCAGCTTAGCAAATGCTGTGTCCTTAACCGATTCTTGTAATATGTAGCTAGACATGACTTGAACAACATTTTCACTTTTCAGATGCCTACATTTTACTTTGAAATCAGCAAACTGTCCAAGGATTTTGTCAATTTCAACCTCAGTAAAGTGTTCATTTAGATATTCAGACATAAGTGTTCTGATCTCACATAGACCATGCAAAGCTAACTGCTGAACATCAAATGGCCATTTACTTATGTCAAAGATTCTAAATAAGCAGAGTGGTTCCTGCTTCAAATTTTCAAATCTCTTATTAATGTAAGATATAGTGTCTGTAAGGAAATTGATGATATCCTGGTCATCTGTGTAGGAAATTTTACAATTTGCAAAATTTCTCAATTTAACGCCTTTGTACTCATGACTGTCAACATCATACATTGTTCCAAATTCATTAATATTTTTACCTGGTACAGTTTTTAAAGCAATAAGTTCCATTACGGTAGATTCAATGAGATCATTGGCTTGAAAAATCAGGATTTCGTTCTTTTGAAAACACCTAGACAGTTTAGTAAGAATAGGCAAGACATCTAACAGGAAGTGAAGAACTTTGACAAATTTAAAAGAAGTCAAGTCATTGTGATACCCTTTAGATTTATTAGCATCATCTGCTCTATTACCAGCCTCATAATTATGCTCCAAATGACTAACAACTAATGGAAAATTATTTTGCACAGCTTTAATTGCCCTGTCCTTGCTTGCAAGCCATCTCACTTGTTTTACTCCCGAAAAATGTGTCAAATCAGTTTCAAACATATTTGCGATTTCCTTTATTTGGCGCCTTCTCCGTGGTGAATAATGATAAAAGTTAAAAATTCCCTTCAGTGTATTTTCAAACTTTGTCATGTAGGTAAATTTTTTATTTGCATCTAGAACTGCCAGTTCTAACTTATGAGCAATACAGTGAATAGCAAACACTCTTTCAGACACTGCATCTTGAATTCGTTTTACTACACCACTTTTAGAACCAAAATTCACCGAAGCCCCATCAAAATTAACCATTAACAGATTTGGATGAGTCCCATCATTGGCTTTTAACTGTTCAAAATCGAGACCAATAGATTTTAACCCTTCTTTTATCGCTTCAAGTATCCCGGGAGCATCTGCAGAATTAAGTGACACAATGTCGATCATTCGAACCACAGGTTACTTTTCAATTGGATCCATATACCTGAAATAAAAGTTCAATTTGAGTAGGACTTGTACTATATTGTACACGGTCGGTGACCAGTAAATAAGATGTGACTTGACTGAAATATAAAAATAAGGAGATGTGGTATGATTGGCAAAGTGAGACACCACCAAAGTTTAATTGTTTTAACTTTATCAGTTTCACACACAAGACGATGTATAAAGATTTTGAAATATATGTGCATTGGGGTAGACTTAATACCATCAGAGACATATCTGATATCATACAATTCATTGCCCTTTTTATACACAGGTATTTTACGTTTTTTTTTACGCTAAAGTTATAGAAAAATTAAAGGAATCTATAAGGAAGAACAAGAGTTAATATTACTTGATACCCTTTCGTCGATTAACAGAGGCATAAAAATGGATATAAACCGATTTTGTCAGTTACTTAGTTAGTTTTAATTTACAAAAAGAAAACAGTTAACTCTTTCAAAGATAACTTTTCGCTTGTCCAATAGAAAGGGAAGAATTTGAAACATTTGAAATTTTACTTATATGAATAATGTTCATTGACATTTAACATGGCGTACCTTATGTAAATTATTTCCTGCTCTATAACTGCTGAATCTGTTGAACCATCTGCCATAACACTTATAAAGTTGACCTTGTTCATGTCAGCCTTGATTCCAATCCTTAGTACCTGAGCTATGGACTCAATAAACATTATACATGCTGGAATGTTTTGGTAATTTTCAAAGTCAATAAATCCATTCATTTGTTGGACTTCCATCATAAAAATAAAGTCCGAGAAGGGTTTTCCCTTTTTAGCTACTGCATATATTTCATTTTGTTTTTTTCTTTGTCAGATAATTTCACTAAAGCTTTAAAAATATGCTTTTCGGCGAGAGTCACCTTTTTTCTATAAACTAGTTCATGTTTATCCGTTGTAGTACTATGCCGGGTCGTTAGATATTTTCTGGCACAGAAAACATGTTCATTTGTTTTATCGTGGGAAACAAGTGGATCAATTCTTATATTTGATGTCCCAACATACAAGGCGGACTTTTTATTTGCATACTCGGGGAAAACACCGACAGTATTCGCAATACATAGCCTCGGGTTTTTCATCCTCCGCAACCGACCTTGCCCACGGGAATCTTTCATTCCATGTCGCTATGAAAGTTCTTTTTCGCTTGTCCCGATCGTACTTTCTATTTTTTTTAGATGTATTTTCAGCCTCATCAGTATCCCCTTCATTTACCGATTTTTGCTTTGAAGTTGATGAATTTCCTGCGGTCGCCGTAGTTAAATATTTTGATATATTTTGTTGCATTGACATTGTTTCGTGCTCACTGCAAGAACAGTTGTCCGACAAGACAGATCAATACCGATCAATACATAATACCCCCCGGTACCGTTAATTGAAAAACTCGACAGAAGCAATGCACAATATCCCCTATAATTAGAAATCGATATTGAAAGTACAAGAATTGCGATCAATACATGATACCGGGCCACCCTGAGTTATTTGTTCTATTTTTAAAACATGTTACTGCGCATGAGGACCTGTACAAACCAGCTCAAATTCTTGGAATCCCGGATGACGTCATTGAATCTGATTGGCTAAGATATAAAGGTGATGAAGGGATTTTCCACTATCTATTTTTGAAACGTCAAGAATTTTTTGTTACTAGTCCGTCGGGCATACTGGGTTACAAGTTTTGATTGCCCGAGGCGTAAATGTCTAGTCCCGGGCGTCGGGCTAGTGGATTTTTTAACCCCTGAAAGGGTGACTGAGAAATAGAAATATGGTCACTACAGGTTTTCTTCCAATAAGCAGTTAAACCCTTGCCAAGTTGGGTGTCTGTTTGGTTGTGCTGGATGTAAAAGTATGCAGCCACGTCCAGTCATGTTGGGGACATTAATGAGAGTGCCACGCTTTCTGCATGTTAAGAACTGTTGAAAGAACTCTTTGAGGGGTCCGTCGGTGGACTTGTAATGATTAATTACTGTCTTGCATCCAATATACCCTCATTTTCTAGTGGCAGTCTAACTTCCCTGACCTTCATCTTGGACGGCTTCTAATAAAGGACCTACCTTTTGTAATTATTGTTTATTTGTTCGTCCTGAACATGTATGAAATATTTGCCACTGGACGCTAAGCAACTAATAATCAATCAATCACATCATTGTGTGCCTAGTTGTATATATGATCATGATGATTATTACAAAATTTTTCGAAGACAATATTTTTACTGAAAAAGACCCAAATTACGGAAAACTTTATACCTTTTTTACTGAAATCACCTAAAGAGGGTTGGTATCTATGTATAAGAAACACTTATGAACAACATCAACAAACGACAACCAAAGTTCCAAAGTTTAATACAAGAGCAGAGTTCTGTAATGTCCCTCACATGGTACATATTTGATCTGTCTATGCAGGTACATATTTTATTTACAGCTGTTATCATAATGCTAGCAAGTTAAAGTATTGGTTGACTTGCTTGCTTTGTTTGTATAAATGTTTGCTCAAGCATTGTAATTAAGATTGACATCTGAAAACAATATAAAAAGGTGGAGTTAAACTTATATACATTATACATGTATTTAAGTTTGATTGGACATTATCAAATAATCATATTTACATATATACAGGTTTAACTACGCCTACTTATATTGTTTGCAGATGTCAATCCTAATTACAATGCTTTAGCAAACATTAATACAAACATTTTGACAAGCAAAGCAAGCAAGGCAAGCAAGACAACCAAATTCTTACTCTACATGCATTAGGAAATTAGCTCTAAAAAAAACACTGATGTTTATTTGTTGTTTTTTTTTTAAATCAAGGTAGAAAAATGCCAGAAAAAGTTACCAAGAAAAGGAAGACAAAAATAGAAAATGAAGAAAAGAAAGAGACGTACAGTAAGAGACTGAGGAAAAGAATGATGAAGACAAAGGAGGAAGAGTCATCGGAAGAGGATGCAAAAAATATCAATCCACTGACTGGGGGTTACCATGGTAATGTTGACAATGACAAGATAGACCCAATTGATAAACCATTAGAAATCAACATGATTAATGACCGAATAGGTAGTCATGGAGATAAAGAGACAGTTGAACCCACACTGCCTCAGTTTAAGTGTGAACCAAAGATACATGGATTCACTCCCTTGGCTTATAGGAGTCAGAACTTGGTACATTTTCTGCAGCAGTATACTTCCGGTCAGAAGAGAACTGTGAAATTAAAACAGGTGAAATTTAAGTAAATTTGTTTTCCATAATTGCTGTAAACCTAAATATATTTTTGCACTATACATTTTTGAATATACATGACACTTAATATTTACAGAGAAGCACCAAGAATAAATGGGCCATTCTAATTAATTTATGAACAGGGGATGGGGGGTGAATGGTTACCTTGTGAAAGACCCCCTGAAGAAAATTTCCTGGAAAATTTCAATCCCTCAGATGCTTGGTTAAAAATGAAAGCAACAAAAAGACAACCATGACAACAATACAAAAATACCTTGCATAGAAAATCAATATTTAAATAACCTGAAGCCCATCCAATTTTTATACGACCGCAAAAATTGAAAATTTTTTGGTCGTATATTGGTATGATGTTGGCAGCGTCGTCGTCGTCTGAAGACACATTGGTTTTCGCACTCTAACTTTAGTTTAAGTGAATGGATCTCCATGAAATTTTACCATAAGGTTCAATACCACGAAAGGAAGGTGGGGATTGATTTTGGGGGTTATGGTACCAACAGTTAAGGAATTAGGGGCCAAAAAGGGGCCAAAAATAAGCATTTTTGTAACTTCCAGACAATAAGTTGTGTGTAAGTGTATGGATCTCTCTGACATTGTACCACAAGGTTCCATATCACAAAGGGAAGGCTGTAATTGATTTTGGGGGTAATTGCCTCAAAATTTTAGGAATTAGGGGCCAAAAAAGGGGCAAAAAACAAGCATTTTTCTAGTTTCATGACAATAACTTGTGTGTAAGTGTTTGGATATTTCTGAAATTGTACTACAAGGTTCCATATCACAAAGGGAAAGCTGGAATTGAGTTTGGGGGTAATTGCCCGAAACGTTTAGGAATTGGGGGCCAAAAAGGGGCCAAAAAACACATTTTTCTAGTTTCCAGACAATAACTTGTGTTCAAGTGTATGGATCTCTCTGAAATTGTACTGCAAGGTACCATACCACAAAGGGAAGGCTGGGATTGAGTTTGGGGGTGATGAATCATAAGGGGGTTCAAAAAATTTGGGGGGGGGGAATTTTTTTTTTTTCTTTTTTTTTCTTTTTTTCCTTTTTATTTTTCTTTTAAAATTTTCCATTTTAAGTTGGTTATTTCTGATTAATATTTAAAAGCAAATAATAATGATATGGTAGGAGATACACACCAAACAGGATGTGTAAATTATTATATAATAAGTATTGTGCAATAGCAAGAAATTTTCAATTGCACAGTATTGCACAATTGCAAGAAATCTTCAATTGCACAGTATTGCGCAATAGCAAGAAATCTTCAATTGCACAGTATTTCGCAATAGCAAGAAATATCCAATAGCACAATATTGCGCAATAGCAAGAAATTGTCAATTGTACAGTATTGCACAATAGCAAGAAATATTCAATTGCACAGTATTGTGCAAAAGAAGATACTTCGTATAAATTGCTTATTTCTTGATCAATTTCAATGGGGTTTTATTCTTGAATTCTTGGGGTTCTTTAATATGCTGAATCTAACCGTGTATTAAGTTTTTGGATTTTGGGCCCCGTTTTTAAATTGGTCCACATTGAGGTCCAAAGGGTCCAAAATTTAACTTTGTTTGATTTCATCAAAAATTGAATTATTGGGGTTCTTTGATATGCCGAATCTAACCGTGTATTTAGATTCTTAATTCTTGGTTCCGTTTTCAAATTGGTCTACATTAAGGTCAAAAGGGTCCAAAATTAAACTTAGTTTGATTTTAACAAAAATTGAATTTTTAGGGTACTTTGATATGCTGAATCTAAACATGTATTTAGATTTTTGATTATGGGCCCAGTTTTCAAGTTGGTCCAAATCGGGGTCCAAAATTAAACTTTGTTTGATTTCAACAAAAATTGAATATATGGGGTTCTTTAATATGCTGAATCTAACCATGTATTTAGATTTTTGATTTTTGGGCCCCGTTATCAACTTTGTCCACATTGAGGTCAAAAGGGTCCAAAATTAAACTTTGTTTGATTTCATCAAAAATTGAATTCTTGGGGTTCTTTGATATGCTGAATCTAACCATGTATTTAGATTTTTTATTTGTGGACCCGCTATCAAATTGGTTCATATTTAGGTCAAAAGGGTCCAAAATTAAACTTTGTTTGATTTCATCAAAAATTGAATTATTGGGGTTCTTTGATATGCCAAATCTAACCGTGTATTTAGATTTTTAATTTTGGGTCTCGTTTTTAAATTGGTCTACATTAAGGTCCAAAGGGTCCAAAATTAAACTTAGTTTGATTTTAACAAAAATTGAATTCTTGGGGTTCTTTGATATGCTGAATCTAAACATGTCTTTAGATTTTTGATTATGGGCCCAGTTTTCAAGTTGGTCCAAGTTGGGGTCCAAAATTAAACTTTGTTTGATTTCAACAAAAATTGAATATATGGGGTTCTTTGATATGCTGAATCTAAACATGTATTTAGATTTTAGATTTTTGGCCCAGTTTTCAAGTTGGTCCAAATTGGGGTCCAAAATTAAACTTTGTTTGATTTCAACAAAAATTGAATATATGGGGTTCTTTGATATGCTGAATCTAACCATGTATTTAGATTTTTTATTTGTGGGCCCGCTATCAAATTGGTTCATATTGAGGTCAAAAGGGTCCAAAATTAAACTTTGTTTGATTTCATCAAAAATTTAATTATTGGGGTTCTTTGATATGCCAAATCTAACCGTGTTTTTAGATTTTTAATTTTGGGTCCCGTTTTTTAAATTGGTCTACATTAAGGTCCAAAGGGTCCAAAATTAAACTTAGTTTGATTTTAACAAAAATTGAATTCTTGGGGTACTTTGATATGCTGAATCTAAACATGTGTTTAGATTTTTGATTATGGGACCAGTTTTCAAGTTTGTTCAAGTTGGGGTCCAAAATTAAACTTTGTTTGATTTCAACAAAAATTGAATATATGGGGTTCTTTGATATGCTGATTCTAACCATGTATTTTGATTTTGGACATTGGACCATAATAGGTAAATTAAAAAAATTGAAGTTCTTAGACCACATTCTTTCTGTGTCAGAACCTATGCTGTGTCAAATATTTAATCACAATCCAAATTCAGAGCTGTATCAAGCTTGAATGTTGTGTCCATACTTGCCCCAACTGTTCAGGGTTTGACCTCTGCGGTCGTATCAAGCTGCGCCCAGCGAAGCATTTTATCTTACTCTGTTAAGTCTTACAGTTATAAATGATAAATTTAGTCATTGATATGATTTTGCTTCCCACTGCTTGACTCGCCATGGTCAAAATGGTCCTTTTTTCTCCTACATACTTCCTAAAGTTGGTTTCTGTTTTGCCTCAACCAAATGTTATGAAACTTATACACAATGTTTATTACCACAAAACACAGACCAAGTTCGAATTTTGCTGGGGCCACTTTTACAGTTCTCAAGTTATGCCCCTTTATATCGTTGAATGTAAGAGGGGGCATTATTATTGTCCCATGGACACATTCTCCATTTATTTTATTTTCATTAGGAAACTTTTAATAATATACAATCATACATAGAATTGAGAATGGAAATGAGGAATGTGTCAAAGAGACAACAACCCGACATATATGTCCTAAGTCAGGAATCTGATGTTCAGTAGTTGTCGTTTGTTGATGTGGTTCATAAGTGTTTCTCGTTTCTCGTTTTTTATACATGTTACATAGATTAGACCGTTGGTTTTCCCGTTTGAATGGTTTTACACTAGTAATTTTTGGGGCCCTTTATAGCTTGCTGTTCGGTGTGAGCCAAGGCTCCGTGTTGAAGACCGTACTTTGACCTATAATGGTTTACTTTTATAAATTTTGACTTGGATGGAGAGTTGTCTCATTGGCACTCATACCACATCTTCTTATATCTATATATGTATAGGAAATGACTGTATATTTATATTTCAGAGTTTGTCAAGCACAGTGGTCAACATGATATCGGATTTGCAGCTTTGTAGAAATGCCAGTCCTTTTGATCGCAGAGTGACCACAATGGAATGGCATCCAACCAACCCAAATATCCTGGCCGTGGGGTCCAAAGGAGGAGATATTATGTTGTGGGATACTGCTAATGTTAATAATGATAAGATGATTCAAGGGGTAAGATATGCAACTGTTGATTCATTTTACTTGTGGATTGTGAGAGGATAGTTATTTTTGTGGATGCTTTGAAAAATCAATAGGAAATTTTATTTTGTTTTACGCTTAAATTTGCAGTTCACTTTTATGGACACAATCCACGAAAATACACAAATAGTTTCCCACATTTAAAAATGAATCCGTAATATTCATTATTAAATATCTTTCCTTTCCCCTGAAATTCTGAATTAAAAATGAGGATACCATAATCGACCGTGCAACCCCCTTCTCGTCATGAAATTTCAGAGAAAAACCTTTTTGTAACTGTTAGAAAACGTCTAATGAAACTCTGGTTATTTCAAATCATGTGTGATAGTTTAGGGTAATTTCATGGAAAAACCTGTTTTCCATCATCAAATAGAAGTCGAAAATACTTGTAAGTGAGCAAATCTAAAAAGCTTTATTTTACATCAGACAGCTGAATACATGTAGTTATCTGAATTTCTGAAGAAAACCAATATATACAATATAAGGTCAAAGTCAGAAAAATTTAAAAAAACTTATAGGATTTAGAAACTGGGGAAGGGGTGAGGTTTTCTGACATTGACCTTATACTGTTTTTATACTGCAGGTAAAAATGGCTACAATTAAAGTCATGATAGTCAATTAATCCACATCACTTTGAAACAGCCCCACCCATTTCCCTTCCCCCTGTTTTAAATTCGCTAATGCCAAATTGCAATGCGTCTGCTTCATGCAGTTGTATTATCTAGAAAGCCTAAATCAGATGCGCAGTAATTAAAACAAAAGGATGATAATTAATTAATTATCTCTTCAGATTGGATAATTTGAAATAAGGGCCTTGTTCTGATTGGTTCCCTTCCCACATCTCACAAAGCAATTAGAGAGCGAGATGCCAAGAGTGGCCAGTAGGGAATTCCTTATATCATTGGTTGTTTTTAATAAATATAAGCTGAACTAAAATACCCAATCGGCAATAATGGACAGGTAATGCATGTGCGATGATACATGTCAACATGCTGTGTATTAATAATTCATTTTTCTTGTTAATAAAAATATCACTTAAATAAAAATATTAAAACAAAATTTAAAAAAAAATTTTCATCCGTAAACAAAATAGTGAAGAAAAGTGACACGATATGAAATCTTCATTACACACAAAATAACTGATACTATATTTAGTAGATAAAGACAACAGGAAGTGTTCTAGCTTCAGTATACATTCATGTCATTGGTTCATATTGTAAGATCAAATTAAGGATGTTTGCTACTCTGTTTCAAAATAACAATCTTTTTAACAGACTTTTATAAATTGATAGTATATATATAAAGGAACATAAAAAGCAGTAAAAATGAAGGGTCTCTGTGCTTGTTTTCTAGATTTAAGCCATTGAAAATTTGGCGGGAAATAATTCTCTCTAGACTTTTGCTAAATTCAACACTGTCACCCTTTTTCTTTCAAAAACTATGAAAAAAAACAAGGATTTAATAGCATTTTCAAGTATTGCCTTTTAAATTATATGTAATAAAAATATAAAAAGAAAAGTAGGGGTTAGCGGGTACAATTTTTAAATGGCACTACATGGATAAAACCACAGGATTCCTAATAGTTGGCAAAAATTTGAAAACAAAAGGAGAGAACATCCTTAAACAAGGCTGTTTCTATTTTCAAAAAGTTCACAATAAGCAGACAATATATTAGCCCAGGTCTCACTTTTAAGCAATGCAATATACCATTGTTGATATTTCATGTAACATGTGTAATTGGTCGTTTTTAGTCTCAATTTAGAAATTTTCTTATACAATGATTTTATGCTCCCCCGCCGCTGGGCAAAGGGGCATTAAGTGTTACCTTGTTCGTCCATACTTACATGTACATCCCAATATTATTTTTTCTATCTTTAGTTTTCCTCAACCAAATATCAAATTTTGGTGGGGTCACTTTTACAGTTCTCTAGTTATGTCCCTTTATAACGTTATATGCAAACGGGGGCATCATCTGTGTCCCATGGAAACATTCTCCATTTATTTGTTTAAAATTTTTAATACTGTCACATGTGTCATTTAAGTTCATATTTCGATTGAGAAGCTGTTATAAACAATTGTTTTATCTGCTTACATGTATCTGCATTTTAAATCATTTAAACATATTATGCAAATATGAAAACAATTTAATCATCAATTACCTATGTTTTAATAGATAGGAGCTGGTGGAATCATGAATGCCATTAAGTTCTGGCCATCAGACAACAATTTCATTTTATCTGCTGCTGTTGACGGCACAGTCAGACTTAACGATGTGGACGGCAGAAATTCAAGAATACTTGCAGACACAATGAATCCTCATGAGTAAGTCTTGTATCTGTTTTATTTTGAAGATTGGGGCTGGTGGAAATATTCAAGCAATTAGATTTTGGCCAAACGACAGCAATAAGATATTAGCCTCTGCGTTGGATGGGCGAGTAACTCTTCATGATGTGGAAGGGAGACAATCCAATATTTTAGCAGATACTTATAACTTTTATGAGTAAGTTTTCAATGTTGTCTGTCATGTCTGTTCAAGATGATTGTTGATTGTATCTGTTTATACATGTAGTACCTCTGATACAGTTAAATAACGTGAATTTGGGTGAAAAATGATTTAGATTCTGGCACATTTTATTGAGCAACTACTGTAAATTCAGAAATTATTGCGATGTTTTTATTATTGCGAAAAATGCGACAGGGTTATAATCGCAATAATTTAAACTTGCATTTTGAAATTTTTTATATGAATTAAACAGGATTTTTCTCAATATCGCAAAAATTAAAATCGAATTTTAGTCTAAAATGACAAAATCGCAATAATAAATGCATGCGATAATTTCTGAATTTAAAGTACTTTGGATTTAGTATTATTGGTAAGATACCAATTTTTATGGATTTCCCAAGTATAGACGAACAACAAATATAAAAGTTCTACCAAGTAGAAAATTTCTATAGGATATATACATGTATAGAGACATATGTAAAACCACAAAATCAAGTAAGCACCAAAAGGGGAGATAGAATAAGGATACTCGGGGGAGAATTTTTGACTGATTTTCATCTGCGAGTAATGGGGAGAGGAAAGTGGGAATAGGGGAAGGGAAGTGGGAATTTCAGGGTAGGGAAGTTAGAATCACGTACCGCCTTGTCCACCCCCTCAAATGCAAGAATTGTTCCTGATGGAATATAGGGTATGGACTAGTTGTTCTGACATTATACATGTAGCATTGTTAATTACAAAGTTTTCTGAGGAACTTCAGATAAGAGAAAGAAATATATTATAGCAATTTAAATTTTGAACTAAAGGATGTTTGCTCCTCTTGTTTTTATACGACCGCAAAAATTATTTTGGGTTCGTATATTGGTATGATGTCTTCGTCTGTGTCGTTGTCATCCGAAGACACATTTGGTTTCTTTACAATAACTTTAGTTTAAGTGAATGGACCTCTATGAAATTTTACTAGAAGGTTGAATACCACAAAAGGAAGGTTGGGATTGATTTTAGGGTTTATGGTACCAACAGTTTAGGAATTAGGGGCCAAAAACAAGCATTTTTGTAGTTTCCAGAAAATAACTTGTGTGTAAGTGTATGGATCTCTCTGAAATTGTACCACAATGTTCCATATCACAAAGGGAAGACTGGGATTCGGTTTTGGGGTAATTGCCCCAAACATGCAGGAATTAGGGGCAAAAAAGGGGCCAAAAACAAGCATTTTTCTAGGTTCCAGACAATAACAGACAATAAATAGTGTTAAAGTGTATGGATCTCTCTAAAATTGTACTACAACGTTCCATACTACAAAGGGAAGACTGGGATTGAGTTTGGGTGTAATTTCTCCAAAGGGGGGTTTCCAATTTTATTTTCTTAAAAATTTTTCAATTTTCAAATTTTTTGAAAAGTTTCAAGAAGAAATCTTCAATTGCACAGTATTGCGCAATAGATTTTAAAGATCTTTGACCACATTTATTTTGTGTCAGAAACCTATATTATGTCAAAAATTTGATCACAATCCAAATTGAGACAGTATCAAGCTTGAATATTGTGTCCAAATTTGCCCCAACTGTTCAGGGTTCGACCTCTGCGCTTAGATTTTATAGATTTTTTGCCTGATATTTTCAGAACCCTCTGCTTTTATCCATGTAGTGCCATCAAAACATTTTGCCCGCTTATCCCTATTTTTCTTTTCATCATTTTATATCATATTGTTTAAAAAGCCGTATTTGAAAATCTTATAAAATCCTTGATATTTTTCATGGTTTTGGAAACAAAAAAGCGGTGAACGTTAAAAGTATGAAGAATCATTTCCCACCAAATTATTTAATGGCTTATATCTCAAAAAACAATCACCTGGATCTTTAATTTTTTCTGCTTTTTTAGTTCCATTATTCATAAACTATAATTTTAGAACAGTCAAAAAAAAAACCTTGTTATTTTGAAACAGAGTAGCGAAGATTCTTAAATTACAAGAATTACCAGTTTTCCTAACAAGGTGGGTATTTTTCTGGAGGTACTTCCAATGAATGATAAAAATAGTCCCATTATATATAGCCAAAGTCACCTGAACACCAAAAATAAGAATTTTGTTTTTTTCCAGTTTCTGGTACTGCAGTGTAGATGTCAATGATAAAAGGAAGATGGTAGTGGCAGGCGATAATGTTGGCAATACACAGTTAATGACGTATGAAGGCAAACAGGTAACTTGACACACAGTTAATGACGTATGAAGGCAAACAGGTAACTTGACACACAGTTAATGACGTATGAAGGCAAACAGGTAACTTGACACACAGTTAATGACGTATGAAGGCAAACAGGTAACTTGACACACAGTTAATGACGTATGAAGGCAAACAGGTAACTTGACACACAGTTAATGATGTATGAAGGCAAGCAGGTAACTTGACACACAGTTAATGACGTATGAAGGCAAACAGGTAACTTGACACACAGTTAATGATGTATGAAGGCAAGCAGGTAACTTGACACACAGTTAATGACGTATGAAGGCAAACAGGTAACTTGACACACAGTTAATGATGTATGAAGGCAAGCAGGTAACTTGACACACAGTTAATGACGTATGAAGGCAAACAGGTAACTTGACACACAGTTAATGATGTATGAAGGCAAGCAGGTAACTTGACACACAGTTAATGACGTATGAAGGCAAACAGGTAACTTGATGTACCTGCTGATCTCGCGTAGGGTTTTGTTCACTGTTTTAGCCTAAGAAATAAAAGTTGAATCTTTGTTGTGATCATTATTTGCTTTTTGTGGCATTGTGCAATTAATTTAAAAAGTGAGAAGTTCACATTGGATAAATTTAAGGGTACAATGTCCAGCCAAAATTAGACACCAGTAAATTTTTCAATATACAGTATAAGGCTCATAGGAAAAGCAGTTGCTGAAACTACAAAAGCTAGTGAAGACTGGTTTTTTTCTTGACAAGGAACATGCACTTTTTATTTAACATGCCTAACAAGTTTTGTGGCATCAATTCTCCCATTTTATGCGACAATTATAAATTTTTAAGATCTGGATCATACTCTAGGCAGTCTGAAACTCGAGTAGAAACATTCACCAGCATATCCCTTTGTGTACTGATGTGTTAAATTGACACATGTATTTAAGGAAGAACTTGAAACTTAGATTCTGGAAATGGGAACAAAGAACATATCTACAAACCACTAGAATTGGAATCAACAAGAAGGACTCTTTTTCAAATGCAAAAAAAGTTATTTGTTTACTTTTTGTTTTTACAGATATTCAACTGTCGATTACATAAACAAAAAGTTACCCATGCAGAGTTCTCTCCCCGTGAAGAATGGTTACTGTGTACATCATCAACTGACCAGACTGTCCAGTTCTGGGATGTTAGAATGATGAAAGACAGGAAGAGCAGTTTGTACATTCTAAAACATGAAAAGGGAATTAACTCTGGTAAGACTTTATATATTGAAACAGGAGAAAGGGAGTTAACGTTAATGAGCTAAACTTTATAGATTGAAACAGGGGAAATAGAGTTTACTTTAGTGAGGTTTGTACACCAATACAGGAGAAAGGGAAATAACTCTGGTTAGTTGTGTTTTTTTTTTACTAAAACATGAAAATTAAATGAACTAAGGTGAGGCTTTATACACTGAAAAGGGGATGATGAGAATTCAATTATCTCTTGTGATGATTTAGACTTTAAACATAAAAAAGGGAATTATCTCTGGTGAGGGTATTAATTTTGATACTAGCGAAAGGGATTTTCTCTGGTGAGGCTTCAAATTTTTAAACAGAAGTAAGCGAATTAACTATTGTGAGGCTATGAATTTTGTTATTGGAGAAGGGGAATTAACTCTGATAATGCTTTATACACAGAGCAAGGAGAAATGAGATAGGGTAATTAACTCCTACATATTCATAGACACTTAAAAGAAAATTAACTTCAACTCCAACATATACACTTAAACAGGGAAAAGGGAAATTACCATTTTGAGGCTTTTTTGTACTGCAAGAGGATAAAAAAATTGTGAGCTAAAGTACTCTTATAAAGTGTAGTTTAGTCTATAAAAAGTGTAAAAGGAGAAAGGGAAGCTTTTAATGGTTAGGCTTTATACATTGGAGAAAGAGGATAAAGTCTGGTGACAATTTGCACACGGTAAAAGGAAAAGTAATAAACCCTTGTGAAATTTCCTATCTATGATGTTAGAGGCTGTATAGCATGAAACACCTTGATTGTATTAACACTGGAGAAATTTTTGTACTTAAAATGCAGGTTCATTTGGAAAACAATCTTAATAAAATACAGATGATGTGTCAACTCTTTGTTTACAAGAATCTGAAAATCCTCCATTTTTAGATTTTTGATACAGGCTCACAATTTGGTATGGTAAACCAGTTGTATGTGTTCAAAACCTCCCCCTCTAGGCTATGTTGTAAGACTAAAACACAGGTACCAACAGGATGACCATAACATGAAAAAGGATTTTAAAAAAGGGTACATAATTTGGAATGCAGATTCAAAATGTGCTTGCAGCTACAGGAAGCTACAGCCTCTGTTTGGGTACTGCTGCTCAAGTTTATGTGTATGAGGGTCTGAATGGTGGGTCGTTCAATTCTTTATTTTTTAAATTTTTATACCATTTTTCTCAATTCTTTATTTATTTTGACCTTTGTTCTCTATTCTTTATTTTTTCAGCACCAATTATTCTCTAATTCTTATTTTTTGGCTTACCTTTTAATTTCTTCCCATTTATTCTACACTTTTTTGCCCATTATTCTTTATTATGTAAACCCCATCCAGATAGGTATGTTTTTTGTTGCAATTTTGAAATCTTGGTGTGCAAAAATTAATACTGGATATAAATAGATATAAGAAGATGTGGTATGAGTGCCAATGAGACAGCTCTCCATCCAAGTTACAATTTATAAAAGTAAACCATTATAAGTGAAGGTACGGCCTTCAACACGGAGCATTTTACACAGTTTGTATTTATATTTATTTCCAGCATACTTCAGTGGAACAGATGGTTGTCGACTGCTAACTACAGACCAGGGTAATCAGGTTAGAGTATACAGGGCACCAGATTGGGTATTAGAAAGGAAGATTTCACATCCTCATAGATTCTTTCAGCATATCACTCCAATAAAGGTATTATATTAAGGCAAAAGTACTGTGACAATCATAACTAGAGCTCAGAGATTGTCAATTGGACCTATTTGTTTCTGGGCCTTTAACAAATTTGAGCCTTGCTACAATATTATGCTTCTAACAGTGAGTTAGCACTATCATGAAAAAAAGCTTCAATAACATGGTAGAATCTTCTTTCTGTTTTTTGGTGATTTCAGGATTTTCCCCAAAAAATAAAGAAGCAAAAGATTTCCCGCAAATTTGTATCTGATGACAGCATAATGAGCATTTTGTATATCTGATTACCAAAAGTTAAGATGATGAGTAAAACAAGCATACATAAATAACTTTTGGCAGCTCCTCAGTTAACACTTGTCTCATATTACTGTTGATTCATTTATTTTTGTCGGTAATAATATTCCGGGATAGAGGATAAAATAATTTTTTGTGAATATTTGATTTTGAAAAAAGGCAAAAAATAAACCCCAAATTTGTACCACACAAAAAATAATTCACAGTCAAGATATGCATTTTGTCATATTTTCATAAAAATGAATTTCATTAAAACTTTTGCAGGCAACATGGCATCCTCTTCAAGACCTTGCAGTTATTGGTCGATACCCTGATCCAAAATTTCCTGGTTACCATGATGGAGAACTACGTAGTATTGATATTTTAGACGTAGAAACAGGTGATCTGGTAACCAGTCTTAGTGACCCCTCTTCATCCGGACTGGTTTGTGTAAGTATGAAGCACATGGGAACCAGTACATGTGTCATCATACAAAAAATAGGCAAATTCTTTTGTGTATCTTTATATAGATTTAGACTGCAACTCAGTGATACAGCAACCTAACTATACTATGATACAAAAAAAAAAAGACAGTTGATTTTGATTTTTAACTTATTCTTTTGAGTGTTTATGTAGGGGGATATATCGAATGGAAAATTAAACACATTTATAAAAAAATGTTTCATAAATGTCTTACTTGGATAGGATCTTCTTTTATATGGAATTAACACCATGGTGAGAAAATTTTGAGAAAATAAATAGAATCAAAATCATCTAGAAAGGGCTTAAAGCCCGCACCCCCTCTAAAAAAAAGAGATACTGGAAAAATAAGTTTGCTTACATTAAATGGTAGTTACTGAACGACACAACAACAGAATTTTCTTAGTTCTGAAATTTGTGAAAGACATAAGATTAAAGATTTCTGTTGTTCCAGTTCATTATATTTTTGATTTTTCCCAATCGACTCTTTTTATTTGTTTTTTGGTTTAATTCAAGACATATTTCACTATCATAAAGACATTAAAAAACAACGTAATTGGCAAACTTTTGTTTGAAGGTTCATTTTATGTCCATATTAAGAAAGAGAAAAAAATTCCAGTTTCCATGAAAACATTTAACCTTTTTGATGTGAAACCCAAAATAACCTTCATACTAGTAATCCTGCTAGAGCAGGATCTGTTTACCCTTCAGGAGTACCTGAGATCACCACCAGTTTTAGGTAAGGTTTGTGTTGCTCAATCTTTAGTTTTCTTTGTTTTGTTGTGTGTACTGTTACTTGTCTGTTGGTCATTTTCTTTTTTCTTTTTGGGGTTTATGTCTTTGAATGTCACTTTGGAATCTTTAGCCTCTCTTTCACTGCATTTTTATATTATACCTGTTTGATTTAGTTCTATCTGGTATCTTTATTTTGCAGGTAAATAAATTCAACAGAAGAGGTGACGCATTAGCTTCTGGTATGGGTAAGTATATATAAACAATTTACAACTGTGGATATTGTACACTGTTTCAAGGGCAGATAACTCATTTAAAAAAGAAATGTCTTTTTTAAAATGAATTATATACTGTTTCAAGGGCAGATAATTCATTTAAAAAAGGACAAATTCATTTAGATATAAGTCAATGAGGCAGCAAACCTACAACAGAAAAAAAGACATCACACAGAAGTGGTAATTTCACATATGAATCAATCAAATAGTTTTTTCTGATGTCATAAAACAATGGGTGTGCCAAGACATTGTCAATGATGTTTCATCAAAACAAATTATGTAGAAAAAATAAGGTTTTTTGCATTTTATCTTTTTTTTAATCCATGTAATAAACACAATAAATAATCAAAGAACTAAAATATCTATAAATATGCAACTTGTGACCTAACAACACTGATAATTAATTATGTACAACACACAATTGTGCATTAATGAGTTGTTTTCAGTCTGACACTGATTTGTATTTTTTGTGTTTGAATTCTTGACTCAGTTATTCTTTAATTATATCTTATCAGTTTTCACCAAGATTGCTGTGATTACAAATAAATCCTAAAGTATCATTCATTATTTTGATGAAAGCTAACCATGATGTTCTTTTTTTTTTAAAAGGTGTTCATATTTTATTATGGACTAGAAAGGAAGAAGTTGCTGAAAGACAGAAGTCTCTTTTGCCAGCCATGAAATCTTACCTTGACAACAGTAGCCATAGCAACCAGAGTAGCCGTAGATCAAGGCAACCCAAATCAAAAGAGACAAAGACGAAAGAAAAAACAAATACAAAAACTGATAAAGAAAAATTGAAACTGAAAATGAAAAATTCCAAGAAATAAAATGACTGAATTAAATATGTTTCATCATATTATTTTCTTTAAAAAGATTAACAGTTTATTCACCATACAATAGTTTTTTTACTTGAATGAAGTGTTAATACTTAGAAAAATGAGAATATATATTCCATGTAAAATATCACCATATAGAAAGACTATTTCAAAATTATGAGTAAACAAATCTAGTACATATACTTCAACATTAATCATCCTATAATCATATTCTTGCTGTTTAGTTTAGAAATATCATTTTCGCATGTCTTACATTTTTGCAATTATATTGTTTGAAATGCATATTTTACTAAAATTGTGAATTTTGTGTTCCTGTTGTCATGTAATTACTGTAAAATTATTTATTTCTTGGGTACAAACTATCCTGGACTAAGGAAAAGTAGAATTTTCGTGGATATTTGATTTCATGGTTCTACAAAAGTCTGCATAATTATCTATAGATAATTATACCCCTGCTTTAAAAAAGTTGGGGTATACTGTTTTACCTCTGTCTGTCCGTCCGGCCGCCCCATGAAATATTTTTAGTCGCATCTTTCTCAGGAACTACATTACAAGGATTTCTGAAATTTGGTTTCAGGGTTTATATAAGTCAGCTATACCATGTTTTGCGTTTTCAGATTCATCACTCAACAACCTCCTGTTTACCAAACACTTACATCATTTTACACATGACATCAAAGTTGTTGAAAATTTTCATCACATTTATCTCAGGAACTACATTACAAGGATTTCTGAAATTTGGTTTCAGGGTTTATATGAGTCAGCCATACCATGTGATGCTTTTTCAGATTCATCACTCAACAACCTCCTGTTTACCGAACACTTACATCATTTTACACATGACATCAAAGTAGTTGAAAATTTTCATCACATTTATCTCAGGAACTACATTACAAGGATTTCTGAAATTTGGTTTCAGGGTTTATATGAATTAGCTATACCGTGTGATGCGTTTTTAGATTCAATACTCAACAACTTCCTGTTTACCTTGTACTTTTAGCAGGCAGGGTATCATTAGTGAGCAGTAGCTCACAGATTCTCTTGTTCATTTCTTGGGTACCAACTTTCCTGGACTAAGGAAAAGTAGAATTTTGGTAGATTTTTGATTTCGTGGTTCTACAAAAGTCTGCATACTTATCTAAAGATAATTATACCCCTGCTTTAAAAAAGCTGCGGTATACTGTTTTACCTCTGTCTGTCCTTCCGACCGCCCCATGAAATATTTTTCGTCACATCTTTCTCATGAACTACATTACAAGGATTTCTGAAATTTGGTTTCAGGGTTTATATGAGTCAGCTATACGGTGTGATGCATTTTCAGATTCATCACTCAACAACTTCCTGTTTACCTTGTACTTTTAGCAGGCAGGGTATCATTAGTGGGCAGTAGCTCACAGATTCACTTGTTCATTTCTTGGGTACCAACTTTCCTGGACTAAGGAAAAGTAGAATTTTGGTAGATTTTTGATTTCCTGGTTCTACGAAAGTCTGCACACTTATCTTTAGATAATTATTATACCCCTTGCTTTAGAAAAGTGGGGTATACTATTTTACCTCTGTCTGTCCATCTGTCTGTCCCATGAATATTTTTCATCATATCTTTCTCAAATACTACATCATAAGGATTTCTGAAATTTGGCTTCAGGGTTTATATAAGTCAGCTATATATACTGTGTGATGCGTTTTCAGATTCATCACTCAACAACTTCCTGTTTACCGAACACTTACATCATTTTACACATGACATCAAAGTAGTTGAAAATTTTCATCACATTTATCTCAGGAACTACAATACAAGGATTTCTAAAATTTGGTTTCAGGGTTTATATGAATTAACTATACGGTGTGATGCATTTTCAGATTCTTCACTCATCAACAACTTCCTGTTTACCTTATACTTTGAGTGGGCGGGGTTATCATTAAGATTCACTTGTTTGTACTTCCTTGAACATTTAAATTCTTGGTTCATCTATACCCATGATATCCACAAAAAAATGGTATCCTGTGAATTAAATGAATCCACAGTACAGAGATATTCAACTATAATTTATTTGGAAAATGGTATTACTACTTCTCTAATTTTCATGCTTTTTTCCACATTTCTTGATTGGTGCCAGGAAATTTTTAGAATCTCTAGAGAAAACTTTGTTTTCGGCAAATGATTGGTTGAAATTTAATTATGACGTCAAATTTTCTTGGATTCTGCTGAACTTCCTATTGGTACTTCATGAAAAAGGGCAACCATGCCTGATGACGTTACATATAAAGAACACAACTTTCTACAAATCTTTGAAAAGGAAGGATACATTTTGTTTAGAAATCGTCTGAAAATCATTAGAGAAACAGATTCCACCACTATAACTCTTGTATTACAATATTTCTCTACTTCATATCAATTTATTGGAGAAATGATCTCAGTTTTGCCTATGATAAAAATGACAGAACCTAGTCTTAGGCATGATGTTTCCTGCATTAGTAAAGGTGGCGTCAACAATTGTAAATGTGTGTGATTCAGTCTCATAATGGTATCTGTGGTAACAGTCTATTTGGAAGTTGTAATTTCAATTCATTTTTTAATTGAATTAAGTTATTTATTTTTAATGCCATATGAGTATTTAGACCATATTTCGTTTTCTTAGTGTTTAAATTATAATTTCCGAAACAAATTTTTTCTTATTTCTGCTTATTTTCATGTTTTGATGTCTTCTAATGACTTGACTGTCATTGTAAGATTGTATGAGTAGGAAAAAGAACAAACGCACAAATTAACGAACATTTAAGAAATTATGATGTAATAAAATCACATTTAAACACCAAAATAAATTTGAAAAAAGGAAAGAAAGAGGGTTTAATAATTCATTTAGATATTTCTAGAAGTAATTTACCAAAGTCAACATATTGCGTTTCATAAAGACAAATTGAGGCCATGTAAAAATTTTTTTTTACTATAGTTCTAACTTTTAAGTAATATTCACTTTATCAAATTAATTATGCAGCAATAAGTACCCTTTGATTGAACATTTTTGAAACTCTTAATTTGTGTGACACATCTTCAACGTTCATCATGTTAATAGCCGGACCATACGCGTAAGGTTGGACCATGTGAGTATATACGCAGATGGTCATGACCATACGCGTATGGTCCAAATACTCACATGGTCCGGAATATATATTAAGCTGTAATGTAAAAGTTTTACTGTTTAAAGTATTGTCTAACCCCTGTTCCCCTTAGGGAACGACCATTTGACTTCAAAGGGGTGGGTGGGGGGGGGGTGTGGTTATGGTTTTTTCCTAAAAAAATATTCTGATCCCCAATTTGATGAAAAAAAATATTCTGTTCAAGCAGATGACAAAAAAAATATTCTGAATCCAGATTTTCCACATATCTTATAGTGTTAAATTTTGAAAAAAAATAATTTGATTGATAGCGCTGAAAAACTAAATAAAATCTTTGCGCGAAAATTTCTTTTCTGACTCTGGACAAAAAACCAAAACCCCCACTTGAAGTTGAATGGTTGCTCCCTTAAATTGCAAAGGGTATAGAAATATGGTCACCTGGTAGAAATACCCATGTGAAAAAATGTTTGGTCTGAATGTGAATTAAAAAAAAATGATGCTACAGATAGGGACTGTATGGCCCTCTTAGCAAGTTTTAGAACCAAAGCAACAACTCCTTAGTTAGACTATTGCAAGGCCAAATTTCTGCCCCTTTACAACATGTTCTCTTTTTCAATGGGCATTCCCACCCTTCATCATGGTTAACCAACTTTTCAGAACCTTCTTACTGGATGTATTGACAGTTTGTTCTTGTCCTGAATATGCTTGTAATTTTTGCCACTGGAAATCAATAAAAAAAATCTCAATCTCAAAACTATGAAGATCACAAGCAGCAATGTTTCAAACAGAAGTGTCCTTGGCACTGCTTTCACACATTCCCTAACAATTATTTTCCTGGACATGATGTAGAATAGATACTGCGAGTATGCAGAGTATGTAGATTTAATGAAATTTTTTTTACACAACCATAATAAATGGGAATGACCCCGATTTTCCTGTTCAGGGTTCCAGGGATTATGCTGATTATTTCTGCTGAAAATGTCTACGATTGTTCGTTCGATATGGATAGTAAACTGCACATTGCTAGAGAACAAAGAAACACTGATGCCAACTTTAAGTAGGTTAATATATAATATGAACACACGAAAAAACGAAAAACGAAAAATATATATTGAAAAACATTTTTTTTTTTCAATCTGCTAACCCACGGTCCCTATAGAAAAAAGATATATAACTGAATGCAGTGGCTTGTATCTAAAAAATTGAATTCATTTTCAGAAAATTTGGACAACCCGTTGTCGAGTTGAAATGTTTTGGCATAGCTAACTTTTTTTTTTTATCTTAAAAAATATTATAGAAAGAGGGAAACTTGAATTAGTAAAAATGACCAGAACAACATTATGGAAAGATCAACAAAGGTTTCATTTATGATTTTTTTGTCTTGCCTGCGATGAAAGTCACATAAGCGAGACATAGGGATTGCTTGTACGGCGACGACGGCTCCGGTGTCAACAATTGTTAAGTTTTCTGCTCAAGTTAGTTTGATAGGAACTTCTTTTGATATATCATTGATATTTACTATGAAGTTGCATTACTTTCAGTATATATCAGTTTGACGACTATTTTGAGGCACTCCCCCTAGGACATGGTCCAATGACTTTGCATTAAATAGCAATTCTCAATGTATGATTTTTTGTCTCGCCTTCGACGAAAGTATCAGAAGCGAGACAAAGAGATTGCTTGTACGGCGACAGCGGCTCCGGCGACAACAATTGTTCAGTTTTCTGCTCAAGTTAGTTTGATACGAACTTCTTTTGATAGATTATTGATATTTACTATGAAGTTGCATTACTTTCAGTACATGTCAGTATGACGACTATTTAGAGGCCCTGCCCCCTAGGACATGGTCCAATGACTTTGAATTAATTAGTAATTCTCAATGTTAAGTGTTCTGCTT